TATTTTATATTTCAATCCCAGTTCCCTCTGCCACCCTCCTCCCATGCCCCACCCAACTAACATCATACCTATACCATATACTTTCTGCTCCCCAGGAAGGGTGAGGCCTTCCATGGGGGGGTCATAAGAGTCCGTCATATCCTTTGGGATAGGGCCTAGGCCCAGTCCCTTGAGTCTATGCTGAGGGAGTACCCTTCTATGTGGGATGGGTTCCCAAAGTGTAATCCTATGCTAGGGATAAGTAATGATCCACTACACAAAGCCCCACAGATTTACGAGGTCTCCTCTCTGACACCCACATTCATGGGGTCTGGATCAGTCCCATGCTGGTTTCCCAGCTATCAGTCTGGGAACCAAGAGTTCCCCCTTGTTCAGGTCAGCTGTTTCTGTGGGTTTCACCAGCCTGGTCTTGACCCCTTTGCTCATCACCCCTCCTTCTCTGCGACTGGATTCCAGTTCAGTTCAGTGTTTAGCTGTGGGTGTCTGTTTCTACTTCCACCAGCTGCTGGGTGAAGGCTCTAGGATGGCATATAATTTAGTAGTCTCCTGTACCAATTTGTTCAAGGGTATTTCCCACTTTCTCTTCTAATAGGTTCAGTGTGATTAGATTTATGATGAGGTTTCTGATCCATTTGGACTTAAGTTTTGCGCATGATGATAGGCATGGATCTATCTGTAGTTTTCTATATGCCAGCATCCAGTTATGTCAGCACCATTTGTTGAAGATACTTTCTTTATTCCATTGTATAACTTTAGCTTCTTTGAAAAAAATCAGGTGTTCATAGGTGTGTGGGTTAATATCAGGGTTTTCAATAGTTTTCCATTGGTCTACTTGTCTATTTTTGTGCCAATACCAAGCTGTTTTCAAGGCTATAGCTCTATAATAGAGTTTGAAGTCAGGGGTGGTGATGCCCCCAGAAGTTCCTTTATTAAACAGGGTTGTTTTGGCTATCCTGAGTCCTTTGTTTTTTTCATATAAAGTTGACAATTATTCTTCCAATGTCTGTGAAGAATTGTGCTGGGATTTGGATGGGAATTGCATTGAATTTGTAGATTGCTTTTGGTAATATTGCCTTATTTACTATTTTGATCCTACCTATCCAGGAACATGGGAGATCCTTCCATTTTCTGGTATCTTCTTTAATTTCTTTCTTTAAAGTCTCAAAATTCTTATTTTGAGTACAGGTCTTTCACTTTTTTGGTTACCATTATCTCAAGGTATTTTATGTTGTTTGTGGAAATTATAAAGGGTGTTGTTTCTCTGATTTCTTTCTCAGTGCATTTATCATCTGTATATAGTAAGGCTCCTGATTCTTTGAGTTAATCTTATATCCTGACACTTGGCTGAATGTGTTTATCAGCAGTAGGAGTTCCCTGGTAGAGTTTTTCGGGTCACTTATGTAGACTAACATATCTGCAAATAGTGAAATTTTGACTTCTTCCTTTCCAATTTGTATCCCCTTGATCTCCTTCTGTTGTCTTATTGCCCTAGCTAGAACTTTAAGGACAATATTGAAGAGGTATGGAGAGAGTGGACAGCCTTATCTTGTTCCCGATTTTAGGGGAATCACATTGAGTTTCTTTACATTTAGTTTGATGTTGGCTGTTGGTTTACTGTATATTGCTTTTATTATGTTCAGGTAAATTCCTGTTATTCCTGATCTGTACAAGAACTTTATCATGAATGGGTGTTGGATTTTGTCAAAGGATTTTTTAGCATCTAGTGAGATGATTATGTGTTTTTTCTTTTTCAGTTGTAGTTATTTTAGCTATGTTATTGAAGTCAAACAGAGATGTATTTTTGAAAGACAGGTGCTCTTCAAACACTTCTGAGATCCACAGAATATGGCATTTAAGATGTTCTAATAGCATAGGCTCATTTTTTTGAACAATGAAACATGTCTGCTACTGAAAGCACCAATCTACTTCAGAGAAGTAGATGAGCATCAAGGAAACCCCACTTGGAGTTTACTTTCTTTGTGGGAAATTAAGTGACCTTACCTCTACTCCTGAGGGTGTGCTGTCCAAATTGAACAAGCTGACATAAAAGAAAGTGACTGCCAAACCTTGCCAAGACAAGGCCTGACAGCCCTTCAGAACATCCTACTTCACAGAAAAGTTTGTCAGATATGTTAGGCCTGTAGGCTGAAGATGGATGACCCAATGTTGTAGAGGAACTTTTGGTGACTATTTAGGCAGCCATCTGTTTCTATCATTTCTCACATTTTTTAAAAAGTTGCTTTCTTGTACTTCCTCCTTACACATTTAATAGTATTTCCTTCTTGGTTCTCTTAAGGAGTGGAAGACTAGATAGTTATGGTTATATTTTTCCTTGTACACAAGACTCAGAAAAGACATGCACTAAAGAAGTGAAAAGTGAAAATGTTTGGGAAAATTTAAAAGATAATTTGATAATGCAAATTAGAATAGAAAGTAAATTAGGTACAACCTTATGGACTCTCCAAGATAGGATAAATAATGGGGTATTTTCTTTGAATTTGTCAAATGCAAATGGACTAGACATTGTTGATATACTTGGCTGTATATAGTTATTGTAATTATTACACATTGTTTTTCTTGTATTAGTTGTAGTCTTCTTTTTGTATTAGACAAAATAGGGATATTGTGGTGATACATTGTATATAATCTAATAAAGCTTTCCTCGGGATCAGATTGTCAAGCAAGCCACAGCCTTAGAGGCCAGGCAGTAGGGGGTACACACTTTTAATCCCAGCAGCCACATCAACCGTAGAAGCTGGGTGGTGGTGGTACACAATTTTAATCCCAGCACTAGAAGGTAGATAAGACAGTAGCAGGGTCTCAGACCTGGCAATTAGCCTCCAGCCATCTTGAGGACAGGATTGCTCCAGTTATGGTAGAGGTGAGAGATCTCTAGTGAATTGGCTGCTTTGCTTTTATGATATTCAGCTTAAACCTCAATAACTGTCTTTGGATTTTTATTATTTGTGTTACAAGATACCAGTGAAACACAGAAAAATTGTAGGGCATTACTTAAATGCATATTTTTCACTCAATTGGAATATTCTGTAAGAATAGGATAACTTTTCAAATACACATAAACTACCATGATTAAACCAAGATGAGATAATTTGAACAAATGTGTAACAAATAGAAAGACTGGAGCATTGCTGAAAATTCTCTAAATTAAACTGAAAATAATATCCTTATTAGATACCTAAATGCACTCATTACTAAATTCCATCAACTCTACAGTGAAGAATTACCAATTGTTCTCATACTGTGCATAAAATAGGAAAGAAGGAACACTTAGAATATGACAGATTATGTTCATAGAGTCATATTAGCCTGATAGTCAAAACAGATAAAGACATAAGGAGAAGAAAATTATAAATCTAATTTCCCTATGAACATAGATGAAAATTTTCTTAATGAAAATACTTGAAAAACTGCTTTTCAGGCTGGCAAAAGTGTCAGAGAAACCCTTCCCGTCCCCCTGACACACACACACACACACACACACACACACACACACACACACACACACACACACACTCCCACTCTCACACACACTATTTTCTCTTCCCCAAAAGCTATTTTGAAAGCTATGTTTCCTTTTCTTTTGGGTTTGAATCATGTGGGCCTCTGCTCCTGCATGACTGCCTATGCAAAACCTATTTGAGAAGGCCATGTACATAACACTTAAGGGACCTAAATCCTTCTGCAGCAGCTGTCCAGCATCACCACAAAACAAATATGTGTGGCCATCAGTTCCTGGATAAAACCTCTCTGATAATTGCTATAGGCACTCAAAAATTAAAATAACAGAATATCATTAGTAATTATTTCATTGACTTTTTCCCCAATAATGTTTGGTTCTATCCTAGGTCTCTGGGATGTCTAGCCTCTGGTTTTTAAACCTCCAGGTGGTGTCAGGCATGGGCTCCCTGTTGTGGTGTGGGTTTCAGGTTATCAGTCATTTGTTGGCCACTCCCACAAGTTCTCTGCCACCATTATCCCAGCACATCTTTCAGGCTGGACAAATTATAGGTCAAAGGTTTTGTGTTTGGGTGGGTGTCCCAACCCCTCCATTAGAAGCTTTGCCTGGTTACAGAAGATGGCGGGTTTAGGCTCTGTATACCTCATTACTAGGACTCTTCATTTGCGTCACCCCCATGGATTTCAGGGAATTTCTACTGCACTAGGTTTCCACATCACCACCAAATGTTCTCAGTTCTATTTGTCTCTCCCAGTACTCTCTCCCTCCATTCCTTCATCCCATGTTCTTGTCCCAACCAGCTCCCAGTACACACACAAAATCTGTTCTAATTCCCCCTCCCAGGGAGGTCCATGTTCCACCCCCAGAACTATCCTTGTACTTAGCCTTTCTAGATCTGTGGCTCCTAACATGATTATCCTTTACTTAACAGCTATTGTTCACCTAAACTTGATTACATACCATGTTTGTCTTTCTGGTATACCTAATTCAGGATGATTTTTGCACCTAGTCTTATTGTAACTTGTTATTCCAATTTGGTTGATACCTCTGGGAGTCTTGCTCTTTTCTGAAAAGCAGATTTGGGGACAGATAAGTAGGGAGGGGATCTTTTGGGATAAAATGTATGAGAGGATAATAAAAATAATATTTCAAGAAACAAAATTTCCTTATCATTAAGCAGACTTTATTCCAGAAATAATACAGGGATGGTCTGACATATATTCCAAGCCAATAAATGTAATACATTATCACATAAATGGACTAAAGTACAGAAATCATATGATCATTGTATATGGAGAAAGTATTTTCATAAAAGTCCAACACTTATTCAAATAAAAATCCTAAAGGAACTTAGAACAGAAGGAACATCTCTCTCTGTCTGTCTGTCTGTCTCTGTCTGTCTGTCTGTCTGTCTCTCTCTCTCTCTCTCTCTCTCTCTCTCTCTCTCTCTCACACACACACACACACACACACACACACACACACACACACAACTCAGATCACTTGAAATATTTCTTCTTCATCTCAAACCATCCACACAGGTTGTGATGGGGGAGACAGACTAGTGAATAAGACTTGTGGATTCTAAGCAACAAGAATAATACCCCCATAGAGTCCTGGTCCTATTATGTGAAACATTTTATAGTCTGCTCTCCAGACATCATGGTTTCTATATCACCATATAGGCCAGGCCTCTTCCTGCATCACTATTTTAGGATTTCATTAATGCAAATCAAAAGGAGGCCTTCTCTTCAAGAGCACTCATGTCAAGAACATTTTTAAAAACGGACATTCATTAAGAAACAGCCACAAGATGAAGTATTTTCTTGATGCACATAATTTTTCACTAATAAAAATAATCCAATAAATGAAGCAATAGCTTGAAAATCAAAGATAAGTATAAAGAAAAAGGTCAAGCAAAAAGTATCTGCATTACTAAGGCAAGAAAGTTTCTAAGGGTTTGAAACACATGCAAAAAGCTAATGCAAATTTTCAGTCTCAGATTTATCAAGAAGTTTTAAAATACCTTTGGACACCTCATCATAAGCACTCAATCCCACTACAAAATCAAGATGGCTAAAATCAGCAATAATCTTATGGTAAATGAGATTGGAAATTTTGGGTACCAAATGTGCAACATCTGTTTCATCAGCCAAAAAGTCTTTTCTGCCACTCCACATGGCAGTTGGAACCTTCATGTCTTCCACATTGTATAATGGAGGAGTTGTCTAGTGGAAAATGTTAAAGAGTTTAGCAAAAAGATATAAGACTGTTATTGATGACTTATTCTCTTATGTGGCAAGATAATTATAATGGTGTGTTTGATATCTCCATAGAAATTATTGATGATCTTAGACCTTGACAGGAAAAAATTAATTTTATTTTTATATATTTATTTACTTTAATTTTAAGACAGCTATTTTCTATGTAGCCTATGCTGGATTCTTGCCAGAATCCTCCCCTCTCAGAATCCTTAATCCTAAGGTGACTGGGATGTGTGACAACACCCAGTTTGTAGTGCAGTGTTATTCAAATTTGAAATCATGCAAGTCCTAAATTCTCTGAACCTTGGTTCTTTACATGTGAAATGATTGTATCATTATATGATTAATCCTGCATGATTTTGTGACATTCAGATACTATGATAGATAGAACATTGTTTTTCACAGTATCATCTTACAAAAGATAATGCTATGTGTTTTCAATTTTCCCAAAGTTCTCTGTGGTGTATCTTCTTAAGGAAAATAAAATGTGCCCTTGTCTTATTTTTTTTAAAGACTTTGTTAGATTTCTTATAGTATATGCCTTTTGTAGGGACCAGATCATTAAATTTGGATCAAAAGATTTACCTGATTGTAGTGTAGCATATTTAGAGATGGACTTCCCCAATCATAAGCTCCAAACACACCTGTATTAATTGCCTTAAATAAAGATAAATGGCAGGATTACTTGCAAAGCCTTACGTTATGATATAACCAGAAGTTATTGAGTTCTATTAGCTCTTTTTACAGCAATGAGACATTGGCTTTGACAAACTCAGTGCATTTTCTATCTCGATGTTATGTACTGCCTCATCAATGGCTACTAAATTACAGTCTTAGAAAATTACACACTACATGAATATGCACAAAGGAAAATTGAAAGCAAAGCTTACTTTTTAACACCTCAAGTAAAATATACTTTGCAAACATTTTAATAATGTTTAACATGTAGCAGTTCATAATACTGCAATCAAGAAAGTCAATAAGCTGATAAACTATCATTCATGAAATATAAAAGCTTAGTTACTTAAGGATGCAAAACTGATGTATCATTTTTTGATATATTTAGTTTTAGTAGTATGTAGTAATCTCCACTTACAAATATTTCTAATTATCGAATGTTTTTATTCATAAGAATCTAAATTAATGCCTGTAAGAAAAATAAAATACATGAAGTCTGAAATTACCACTTGTAAAAGTTGTGTTGACTGTCTATAATTCAAATGAATTCAAAATATACAGCATAGTACATTGGTTGCTACTTGCATTAATGTTTTATATGTAATAAGGTTTATATCCTTCATCTATAATTTGATTTACATAATTTTTCTGTAAAGTTAAACAACACAATTTTCAAAAATATTAAAAAAGGTAGATGTTGTAATCTCTGTATTTAATACATACATAATAATGCATAAATGTCTTATTTAAAAAATAAGAAATTATAATATTCAGAGGTAAGTAGTACAAAGTGGAAATGTTAAGAGAGTTGCAGAATCCTGAATAGAATTTTGTCAACAAAGCACTATAAAGAAGTATTTCTTAGGATGTGATATATAATGTTTTATCAATAATTGGCTGATAGAATAAAAATTTTCATATCATATTTTATGCAGTGGTCAAGCATAAATACTATATGTTTGAAGGTAATTTAAAAACACCCTTATAAGTTAAGATGGGCTTGCTCCATATGTGCAGGTACCAGTTACATCTTGTCAAATGACATTAGTATGATGAACTCATTCTATGAAGTGTCTTGGCTGTCACATAGGTAGATAGGAAAGCTATCACAGTTTACTCATAGACCATAAAGACACCCACAATTCTCATCCTGCATCAATCTGTGAAATTACTAAAATTGGTAACAATTTGACATAAAATGTATGTATATATATTTACTTTTTGGAATAGGAAGCATTTCTCTTTGAGGATAAAATAATATGACCACTCTGTGATTATCACATTTTCTTGAAAATATTTGATATACTGATAAGTTTCTTTTAATCCATCAAAAGGGATGTAATGCCCTGACCACAAAAACTACTGGGGAAAGATTTTCTGAAACTTATGAAGAAGGAGAATTTCAAAAGCAGAAGAAAAGAGACATATTTTAAAAATTGTACCTGACTGTAATGTAGAACAATTTGAACTGATGTTCTTGCTAGACTGTGTGTTATATACACATCAGTACGGCTCTAAGAGAAAGTCAGACACCATAAACATTTGTCAGTCTTTGGTTTCCTTCCACAGAAAATCTTTCAAGATAGTCATGCTGTATTATTCCTATAAAAATAAATCTACAAGGACTGGAGAAACACCTAAGTAGTTAAGAGTACATAATGTTCTTGAAAAGGACTCAGCATCAATTTCCAGCATCTACATGGTGGCTTGTCCATCACTCTAGTTCCTAGGTATTCAATGACCTTATGTTTGCCAGAGTGTATACAGACATAAATGCATGTAAAACACTGATTCAGTATATCTCCAATCAGTTTATAAGTAAATCTGGATTTTGACTACAGTGAGTAATCTAGATATTCTTGTTTTCTTTTCTTTTCTTTTCTTTTTTATTTTCGTTTTTTTGAGACAGGATTTCTCTGTGTAGCTTTGGATCCTATCCTGGCACTCACTCTGGAGACCAGGCTGGCCTCTAACTCACAGAGATCTGCCTGCCTCTGCCTCCCAAGTGCTGGTTATTAAAGGTGTGTGCCACCAATGCCCAGTGATATTCTTGTTTTAATATGAGTTTTTTTAAGTGAAATTAAAATGCAGTTATGATTTTTCCCCTTTACTGGTCCCTACCACAACCCCTCTGCATTGCTCTCTCTCAAAGTCATTACCTGGATTACTTTTCCTTAATTGTTGTTATATATTCTTAAACATTTACTATAAACTTTTCAAGCCACATAATATTACTTGTGTGTCTTTGATTTCAGGGCTCACTTCTGTGTTTTATTAAGTAGAATTCATGAACACCAATGGTTTGTGTGAGTGTCTCACAATAGTTGACTTTAATTACATCTATCTATCTATCTATCTATCTATCTATCTATCTATCTATCTATCATCTGCCTGTCTGCCTGCCTGTCTGTCTGTCTTTCTGTCTGTCTGTCTATCCTTCTCTAATGTTTTACGTCCCAGCCTCAGTTTTCCTCCCCTCATTACCTCCCAGTCCCACTGCTACCCGTTTCTCCCCAGATCTACTGCTCCTCTGTTTCCTGTCAGAAAAGGCAAGGCCTCCCAACGATATCAACCAAACATGGCATATCAAGTTGCAATAACACTAGGCATATCCCCTCATATTAAGGCTGGAATACGCAACCCAGACTCTAATTATCTTAACAATAAATACACACATATATTTTGTTGGTTTTTATGTTAAATTTTTAAAGGACATAATATGCTATGATGATCAAAGATTAAGGAGAGTTTAGATATTAACAAAATGAGTCAGTTTATTCATTTTTTATGTTTTAAAGAATTTCCTTTTGTTAATGATTCATATTTTATGTGATAATTTATGTGGAAATACCCTTAGTTCTGGAACAGAATTGCTGAACTCATTCATACATGACACCCAGCTATTCATTCATATGTGGTGCATGCCACATTTTCTATGTTGTCAGGTTGATAACTTGGGAATTACATACAAGTACATCTTGACTTTAATATAAATCATGCTAAACAATAAAGATTAATTAGCCATATAGAGTTGTTATGGTATTAGCATGAAAAATAACAAATTTGAAACTGCACAACACATACCTTATTTAAATTTTGTGGAGTATATCCAGTCATTGATCCCAATATAGCAACACATGTGGTGTCGATTACCTTATCACTGCATGTGTATCCAGCCAGCTTATTGAAAGCTATCATAGGCAAAAATTCTTTTTCTCCAAAAAGGAGCTGAAATTGACAGATTTGAAGAGCAGCTGTTAGTCTAAGTAAGTGTTTTATCTAGCACAATGTTTGTAGGATGTGAAAGACATAAAACAAAGCTATGTTACTTAAGCGGGGATTGACTTAGTGCACTGTTAAGATGTTCAGCACATAATTTGAGAAAAAGCATCATATGATTATTTTTAAGCACTTTCAATTGAATGAAAACTTCTGAGAATCATGAACATTGTGGTGTACTTGCAGTCTTTCTAGTTCTTCCTTGTGGAAAAGTTATTCAGGGTTAATGACTAGCAAGCTTGTTAAACAGTGTGTGGAAATTTTGATGCATGCATACAATAAAATGAAAACATGTCCACACAAAAACTTGTAAATGAGCCAAACAAGAAAAACACTGAAAACTCCTGTCAGTAGTGGTTATACCAATCAATTGAGTGTGGTACTATTTACCTTATAAACTATTATTCTTTTATAAAGAAGTATCTATAATAAATACCACAAGTGAACTAACACATTTACTTCAACTGGGAGAGTCAACATATGACACCACAGTGCATGATTCCATTTAGATGAAATGAGTAGGATCAGCAACTGGAAAGGGCAACATAGCAGAGTCAGCCACCTAAACAAATAAGACATTGGGAGGGAGTATAAAGTCAAGTCTAACTTCCTTATTAAACCAGTCTGCAGCATGCTCTGCTACTCACTGACTCCCAGTGCCTGAGTCATTGGTGCTGCTTCTTCTCACCCCCTCCCCCAAGGGGTCTGATCTTATAGTCAAACTTCCAGCTAGGAAAATTTAATACTCACATGATCGGTGAAATAGACACCATTCTTTTTAAGAGACTGGCTTTATTCTAACCCTAAATTTAGAGAGAAAAGGAAACGCAACCCATACTTCACAGAAATGAAGATGACAGCTAGTTGTGCAGCTCAGTTGACTTGATCCCTAGCACTAAATAAAACCGATATAGTAACTAACACACATCCAAAATTCCATTGTATAACAAGCATAGGAAAGAGGATAAAGAACAGTTCAAAGTTATTCTCAACTACACAGCAAGTTCAAGGCCACTCTACAATATATGAAATGCTGTCTCAATGATAAATTAAATTAACTAGAGAATAAATGTACATGTTAAATTTTGAAATGTGATGCTAGTTGCCCTGCTTGCCCTGGTAAAAATTGAAAATGATTTATAGAAAGGATAATACATTTTAAAACTGAGATTTGCCCCTGGAATGATTGTTAGCTTAATTCTCAGCAAATTGGTAATTCACCATGTTAAGAGAGTAAAAAGAAATCATACATGATCTCAATGTATATAGACAAAGCACTCAGCAATAATATCCACTAACAATTTATTGTTGACAACTAATAGAAGCTAACATCCTCAGACTCTGAAACTATACATTTACGAAAAGTTCAAAGACAAAATATTTTGTAGATAAAAGTATTGCACTTCAATGTATAATAGAATATTTTCTCTTGCTGATTCTATGAACATTTATTCTGCAAATGATTGCCAATCTAATAAAATACAAGCAATCTTTTAAACAGTAAAAGACAATTTAACAAATCTGTGACCAGGAGAGGGTTTATCATGTTGTTCAAGTGTAGGAGAAACTACTGGCAACCTACAGAAGCCACAGATGTCCAGGCCAGCCTGCATAAGCATGCCTGGGAGGCACTTTCTCCCTGAGCCAAGCCTGCCTCTATACCCAGAGACTGCTGAAGAAGAGACACCTGACCCAGAGACACCAATGCGGAAAGGGCAACATAGCAGAGTCAGCCACCTAAACAAATAAGACATTGGGAGGGAGTATAAAGTCAAGTCTAACTTCCTTATTCAGACACACTGCAGCATGCTCTGCTACTCACTGACTCCCAGTGCCTGAGTCATTGGTGCTGCTTCTTCTCACCCCCTCCCCCAAGGGGTGTCTGAGCAGGGTCACCCACAAAATTCTGGGGTGAATAGGCTATCTCTACACAGACCCTTACCATGTTCATGAAACATACTCAACTAGGTTCAATGAATCAAAAAATAGACTATGCAAGCAGCATGGGATGAATTGAAAGAAGGTGGAATTCTGAGTGAGGAGGATGGCTAAGAGTGGATAATGTGGTAGATATAAACTATATATTGTATACATTATGGTGTGATCAAATTGATTAGAGGAAAAGAGAAAACTATATTATAAAAACATAATCCTATATGTCAAAACTAATGAATCCACAAAAGGGCAAAATGTGTTAGACCAAACTGGTCATTATTTTGCACAGAGTTACAGAGAAGAGGATCACACACATACACACCACCACTACCAGCAGCAGCAGCAGCAGCAGCAGCAGCAGCACCATTGAAGATGGCAATAAAAAACAGACATCAATTTTATCAAAACCTTAATTGACATTACCAGTTAATCTGGTTTGGGAAGATGAAAGAAAAAGACAATGAACAAATTATTTGTTTTGTTTGTTTTTCTTGTGTTTTGGATTTAAACTATGATGTATGCTCTGAAATAGAACAAACCTAGGAGATTCAGAATAACTAACGTCTAGGAATACTACAAAGTTCTTCATAACATGTATTATGAACCCCAGAAGGCTATGAGAGTTACAAATGAGGTAAAGAAGGTACTTGCTCCTAATGTTTTTCTTTTCTTTTCTATGTTTGAGAAGTTTTGCTGTGTTTCCTATGCATGCCAAGTACTACCTATGTAGCTCAGGATGGCCATGAATTTACAATAGTTCTGTTTGTTCTACATTTACATGTATGGATTAACTTTCTAAAATGACATGAACATTTTCAAGACAAAACACTGGTGCAATTATTTAAAATAGTTGGAAGTATAAACAAGAAATGAAGTCTTCAGTAATAAAGGGACATTGATTATATAAGTGGAAGGATACAATTGAAAGGATGCCCTACATTTAGTCACAACTATATACAAATGAAAGCACATTTTGGTGCTCTAAACCAAGCAGAGAGTGAAAAGTACTTAAGAACCTTAAGTGATGTCAAAGAAGTAGAGGGATTTTACCATCACACTTTGCTGGTGGCATGCAATATCATAGATCGTCTTGGGATCCTGATAGTGTCATAAGATGAAATCCAAACTGACGAAGTAAAAAATGCCATCACCTTGAAGGTTGACAGTTGCGATTTTTTTTATCTTTAGTGGACACCTATCTTAACAGTTCTACAATGCCCTGGCAGTAGCTATATAACAAAAATAATGATATCAAGAAAAATGAAGAGAACTGAGTGTGTACACTGGCAAGTTGAGTGCAAGTGTAAAAGAAATCACATAACTAACAAAATGTAGTATGGCAATTTTAAGAAGCCAGTGAAAGAAAACTTGAAAGTGCAATACAAGGTATGATAATTTGCAATATGAAACATTAAAAAGATCATCCAATACAGAGTGATCAAACCTAAACATATGTACATACATACAAGGAATACTGAATGGATTTAAAAGGTATGTTCAGATGCTTATAATGATAACAATTAAAGAGGAGGTCATGAATGTGAGAGGGAGAAGGGGCATGGGAGAAGTTAGGAGAGTATAGGGAGGGATGGAAATTATGTATATACAATACTAACATAAGAAATTCTTAAAAATGAAGAGTTAAATTAGTAAGAAGCAGCTATAGATTAAAGAAAAATACAATCATGCTTAAGAAAGTCCATAGGACAAAACTCAAGCTGCCCAACTTTGAGGTAGCCAATCATGGGAGGCTATTCATGCAAGTGAATCAGCACTCGATTGTACAGGAAGATCTCCTCTTTAGTAAGCTTATTTTGAAAAGTGTAATTATACCACCACTTTGAGTTCATCACAAACCTTGAAAGCTGTTGGATGGAAGTAAGCTAGAAGGCGTGCAAAACCTTCGACATACTCAACAGTAGCAACAGGAGCCAATAAAAAACACATTTTTATCTTGTCAGCCAGTTGTTGATTTGTGGAAAATGCCCCCAGAGCTGAAAGAAATAAGAAGAGATTATTTTTTTGCCATTCCTTTTTTCTTAAAATTGTCTGTGTGGTTAGGATGTTTCACAAAGCTTATTACTGCTCTTTGTCAGGAATTTAAAATTTGCCTTGGAGATTTCCCTTAGTTTACTCATCAGAGTGTTATGACTTTAAAACATTTAAATTCCATTCAATCTGTTGGGAATAACTCTGTTTATGATTTATTGGCTCCTTGATATTTTGAGTAGCCAGATTCACCATATTTAAGGATCAGTTCAGCACTTATGAAAAATGTACTCTTGGAGAAGACACCCACCCTACTGCATCATCTCCAGCCCACTCTTGCAGGTGAACACACATATATAAATCTATCTACATAGCTATCTATAATCAATCTATCTATTAATAATCTATCTATCATACTCTATGTTGAACAAATGTATACATTAGTTAGAAATAGTTTTCCTGGAAGTCAGACATCTATCCTTTGGTCCTTTTTTGTTTGTTTGTTTGTTGTTTGAAACAGGGTTTCTCTGCATTAATTTGGAGCCTGTTCTGGAACTTGCTCTGTAGACCAGGCTGTCCTCGAACTCAGTGATTTTAATACCAGCCTACCAAGTGCTGGGATTAAAGTAGTGCGCCACCAATTCCTGGCTCGTTTGGTTCCTTTAAAAATATTTTTATTTACTTATTTTTTTTAATTTCATTTTATTTCCCAACTAAAATTCTTCCTCCTGCCCCTCTGCCTTACCTCCCCTCCGAAGCCCATCCATTCCTTCCAACAGGTAAGGGCTCCTCTGGGGAGCTGACAAAGTCTGACACATTAAGTTGGGGAAGGACCAAGCCCCTGCCTTCTGTGTTAAGGCAGAACTTGGTACCCCCTCAAAGGGACTGGGTCCTAACAAGCTAGCTTATATACCCAACAATGACATTATGAAATTTTCAGGAAAATGGATAGAACTAGAAATTTTTTTCTTTGAAAACATATACTATGTACAAGCTTATACAATGCCAATAAAGCTGTTGAGAAATGACCAAGAGAAGACCAACTTAAGAGCTCAGTGGACCCAGACTCTTGAAACTTCTTCTAAGCAGAATTGACACACGAATCTTCCACATGTGCAATGCCATATGAGGAAGAACACACACACACACACACACACACACACACACACACACACACACACGTATGTGCGCACATTCAGAAGTCTAGTCATTAGTATCAGAAATTCTAGCTATGGAGAAACTTAGAAGTATCTCACACATGCACGTCATTAAAATACCTTGTATGTTAGAAATTATGGTTTCAACATTTGGCATTTTATAGCAGGTTACAGTTGTTATTGGCTGTCAAAAAGCTTATATGTGTTTTACAAATAGTTGCAAAATTTGCATATATATTTGTGTTCTTCAGGATAAAATTTCGGCATTATCTAATTTTGTTCTTTGTCAGCATACCGATAACGGTGCCTTGAGAATGTCCAACATAGTAAATTTGCTTTTGTCCTGTTTTCTTCAGGATGAAGTTAATGGTGGCTGGAAGGTCATATTTTATCATTTCATCATAACTGCATGAAAACAAAAGGGACAAAATGTGATCCAAATATTAAACTATAAATAAATTATTTCTGTTTTAAATGATGTCTTTATAGAGTCTATATGAAGGGAGGCATTTGTGAGACATGGCTCAAAATTACTGCTTGCAAGGTTACTCTGCTACCTCTGTATAATCACCGCTATTCTGTGTTGACACATTTCATGTGATGTGTATCTACAGGTATACACTTTGAAACGAATTAAGCTAGCATTGCTATGTCCACAGTAAATGAACTGTTAGACATATTCAGAACACCTTTGCACTACAGCTAAATTTCTAAAATTCTAGGTTCTCCATATGAACATGTTATTTAAGATTGGAAATCAAGCTGTAAAATCTCTGCTAATCCTCAACAAAGAGAGAAGAGGTCAGGGGTGTGCAAAGAGAGAGAGGGGGGTTGTTAGAGATCCAAGGATGTGAATGTGATAGAACTTGTTTAAATAACTTGTTGAGAATAACTTCAGGAGATATTCTACTACTCTGTGAGCCAACACACTCATATGTACTTTTACCCGTGTCTTTTCACCCTTGTCTATTACTCATTCCACTTACAAAATATCAACAGTATAGATCTAAGGAGGTAGCTTAGCTTGGAAAGTAATTGATGCCAGAGTTTGATCTGCAGAACCCACCTAAAAAAATTAGGCAGGCATGCTGGTCCATTCCTGAAATCCTAGCAATACAGATGCAGAAATAAATATATCGTAGGGGTTTAGCTGACCAGTCAGTCTCTTCAGGTTAGTGATTTCCACAGTGGACATTGTGTCTAAAGAAGGACAACTGAATTTGTGCTCTGATCCTCACACAAACACATGCACATGGATATACACGTGTTATACACACCAACACACACACACACACACACACACACACACACACACACATATGCGCGCACACACACATGTATACATAACAAACGGATACACAATCAAAGTAAAAAGTAATGCAAAATGGCTGAATGCATACTTCTATATTTGCAAAATCAATGTTTCAATGTTTTAAATATAACAAACTTACTTCAGCGAATCAATTTTATAAGGACATGGATGAGGCATGTGGGATGACTAGGTAAGCAAAGGCACTATTTACCAAGCTGGTTACCCTGAGTTTAATCACCAGAACCAACATGGTTGAGGAAGAGGGCCAACTCCATTAAGTTGTTTCCTGTCTTCCAAACATTCAACAAAACATTTGTGTACACACACACACACACACACACACACACACACACACACACACACAGAGCAAAATATCACATGAAGTATAATTTTTAAGATAAGTGGATTGATTAGAAAAAACGACAATTTCAAGAGTAGAAATATAGGCTATAATGAACATTTTATACTAGTTATTAAGCATAGTAACCACAATCCAAAATCCTAAACTATGTCACTCAAATCAATCTAAAATACCACTCCAAGTGAAATGCTTTCAATCCAGTCCCACAACTTTATTTTACTATTAAAATATTTGACACTCTCTTAAGGCAAATATAGTATTATATGGAGTTTTTTTCCTACCTAAAAGCCCAGAATTCTTTAGAGTTTGGGTCCAGGTACAAGTGTTTTTTTGCCCAGGTACTTCCTCTGCTGTTCCCCATCCACACATCATAACCAGCATCTGCTAATATGAAGGCCAGGCTGTTGTTGGGAGGATTGGAAACCCACACACCAGGAGCTCCAAACAAGCCATGCTGACAAAGTACTACTTTCTTTGGGCCTGCCAAAACAACAATGAAAATGTTTTACAACATTAGCTTCCATTGAACATGAAATCAACAAATTCCAAATAGTCACAAGAGAACTGAAAAGATTTTGAAATGAGGGAACAGAGATGTGCTAAGACTTCATTCCACTTATTATGTCAGTCAATATTAACCAATATTCACTGGGCAAAAGAAGAGCCACTCCTACAAGATCTCAGTCTTCAAAGTGCCAATAGAAACCAGGTACCTTTCAGGCCCCAAGCTTATTTCTTGGAGACAAGGAGCTCCAACTGGTCCTTTGAAATTACTCAATTTGAAGATAATGCATGTTATTTCCTCGGGATTCTTCAATACTTGTCTTACTCAGATCTTACTTGTGCTATTCGTGTTGTTTTTCCCATGAGGAATACGGTTAATTGGGAGGATGTAACCATCCTCAGTCACAGCCTCATACTCTTCACTTGCATAACCCCAACGGATAATAATTTCACTCTAGGAGAGAAAACACAGTAATAAGTTTCATGAATCCTTTTGTTCTCAGTCATTTTTCCTGATTCTTAAAATAGATTCTTTTTTCTTGGAATGAAGTCTTCAATCTTGGTAAATGTTCAGACTTAAAGAGATACACTGATTCAGAAAAGATGAATGAAGTTAACAGAGATAAAGCAAATGCATGTAGTTTTATTAGTGATAAGAATAGCTTACAACATTCATGTGGACTTCAGGATTCATGGTTGTTTCAAATAAACAAAATATGTTTCCACATACATGGACAAGGCACATTGTACTCAGCAGCCACCTCATTTTCACCTGCAGGGAAACAGTTATTGTTATGAATAACAGTGCCCAATAGAAGAGTATTAACTCAGCTTATAGCAAATGTATTATGTCTATATGTAACATTCCATAACTGAAAGTTTTCATGTTATATGATGAGTCTTAGATGAACTCCATACCTCTCAAAGAACATCTTAGATGAAATTAAAATTGATAATATAAATCATTAAAGTTATTTTTCTTTACCTTGGCTATTAATAACAATAAAATAATTCTGTCTTGTTTGCTAATAAACATCACTGATGTCTCTTTGGAATTTATCCTGAAAAACCCAGGTTAGTATATAATTTATTTAACAATAACTTTAAATGAGTTAATTAGTTCAAAGCACTTTAGAATTTTGACAGCAGAATGAGGAGAGTAGTGAAGGCTAATTTGAAGGATAGGAGAGATGGAAAAAATCAGCGTGAATGAGCTTTCATATGTAGTAGCTGTGAGTACCAATATATCTTGTCTGGCCACATCTAACCTGGCCTCCTTTCATAACTATGGAGAGCACACATATTCCACCAAAATGCTCAAAATTTCTAAAATATGTGCTTCTAAAAATGCAAGCATGAGTAATAATCATCTCTTTCCTACCCCCTTATAAATATTATGTTAAAGTGATATCCTGTACACACAATTTTAATAATTATTTATTTGTCAATTCAGGTGCCGTAGAAAGTATGTACTCCACATGTAATGTCCCTGCTTCTGTCACAAGCACAGCATAAGGCTTCTGATATTTCTTTCTTTTAAATTTTTGTTAGTTCCATATTATCAAGATGCCAAATAAGCTGGAAATAGGAAAGCTACACATTAAGACAATAATTTTAGCAATAAAATCAAGGCTATAACTACCAACATTCATGCCGTTTTAATACTGAACCTAAAGCAAAACAATACACACATTTTAGAGTATCATACCTACTGTTAGATTCCTGTAGTCTGAATGAAAATTTAATTCTCCTTTTCCTCTTGCTCACTATATATATTCTGTGACTGTGTTTTTTGGTTGACCTTTCCTAGGAAAGGGCAGAGACTATGTTAACCATGAACTCAGGTGTTTGTCAAATCAGAAGTCAAATATTGCAAAGATCTCAAATTTGACATGGTTCCAAAACCTCCAGTGAGTTTTCTTAACTATGGGATCATAACATGCCAACACCCTTCTATTGTTCTCCTCCTTAGGGTAAATACTGAAGCTTTGTTTATCTTCTAACCTGGAGAATAAGTCATTGTGCTGCATTTTCTTCAAAATTGATCTTTACTGAATCTATTTGAAAGCTGCTGTATACAGAGTTACATAATGTCATCATATACATTATGAACAATGCCATTTTAAAATCATTTCCCCCTATATCTTACTTAAGTTCAACATGGGAGTTGGTATCTTCAGAATATAAAAGTGGCAAAGCATTAATAGCAAGAATGGTTTAAAACACTCAGGAATATATAAAAATTTCAATTGGAAAAAAACAAACCACAATCACCAAAAATTATAAAAACATCTCAAGCACATATTTTCCCTATAAGAGAGTAAGTAGAATATCATAATTGAGAAAAATTAGATGTAAATTCTCTACCTCAGAAATTTGTATCCATATATTTCTAGAAAAAAAATCTGGCAATTTGATTGGAGGAAATGCATATGCTACTGTTTAAATGTGACCTGTGCCCTAAGGCCTATGTGCTTGGGGATGGTGTCCAGAATCACAGAGATGAAATGGTGGAACATTTAGGAAGTGGAATCTTGGTGAAGTTCTTAGGTCAGGAGAGCCAAACCACTAAATGGATTAATGGTGTATTTGAGGAGTAGGTCAAACATGGTTGTAAGCAATGTTTGCAAAAGAATATTTGTCATACAGTAAGATAAAAGCACATCTGACTTGTCTTCAAGTCTCACTTACTAGATGTCCATGTGACCTCTTCTCCTGGCACTTCTAACTTTGTTATGGTGCTTGGCTTCTTGCATTCCCAGAATTGAGCACCCACCACGCTCTAAAATCTGACGAATTATGAACCATGTGAACCCCTTTTTACAATGTATAACATGCGAATCATTTTGCTTCAGCATCAGGAATTGGGCAAGATTACTGTTCAAATCTATTCCACATAAAATTTCTTACTTACAGTAAACATATAGAGCACAATTACAGCTAGTCAGAAACTTTATTTTGTGGTAACATACGGTACATAAACTATGTAACAACTTAAGCACATTATACTAGCTCATGTGATAGCTCTATTTTTACATTTATATGTGATATAATAAAAGCTCTATCTATAGGAGAGTCTTTTACCCATGTACTGTCCTTTGAATTCTGGGAATGAGTTTTCTGTGAAAAGCAAAACAAAACAGTTCCTTTTCCTTTATGAGGTTTCAATTCAGTTTATGAAATATACCTTTGTAGAATACCTGTCCTCTCTCCTCATTGAGAGGTTTTTCCTTTTCAACTAGAATCTTGACCAACTTTGATGGTATTCAAAGTTTTTCTTCTCCTGTGGAAACAAATGCAAAACCCCTTCTCCAATGTAACACATGTCCTGGTTTCCATACAGAGTTTAGTACATCTTCAAAGTATGCAGGCTGATTCAGTTTAGCAGGGTTTTTTTTTCTGTAGTCCAGTATCTTTCAGCACCTGTATGTCCTTTCTCATTGGCATTAAGAAAGTTTTTCTGTTAGTAAAGCATTATGTAATCTATGTTTGGAGGGGGGTTGTTCCCCCAGCCTGTTTATGGAGCATCACTTTCAATGTCCTATTAGATCTCTCAACCACTGCCTGTCCAGTAGGATTGTGTGGTATACCAGTCATATGCTTTGTTATAATATTTGAAAAAGTGTTCCAATTTAGTGGAGACATATGCTGGTGCATTGCTAGTTTTTATTTGTGCAGATATATTCATGAAAGCCATAACCTCTAGCAGGTGTATAATAACAGAATCAGCTTTCTCAGAGTTAAGAGCAGTAGCCTATTGTAACCCTGAGAATGTGTCAATTGTATGATACACATATTTCAAATTTCCAAATTTTGAAAAGTGAAAGACATCCATCTGCCAAACCTCATTTCTCTGAATGCCTTATGGTTACAGCCTGCTGGCAATGGAGTTTGATTATAAAAAGAACAAGTAGGACAGTTTCTCACTATCTCCTTGGCTTGTTGCCAAGTGATGGAGAAGTCCTTTTTTAAACCTTTGCTATTTACAGGATATTTTTATGAAATTCTGAGTCTTCTAGAACACTTCCAATTAATAAACAATCATTCTCATCATTGCCTTGTGCTAGTGGGCCTGGCAGACCCATATGGGATCTGATATGAGTTATGTATAAGGGATTAATTCTGTTCCTGATAGTGTGAGGCAATTGTACAAACAGGAAGTTAATTCTGTATTTTCAGGAACAAATTCTGCAGTCTCAATATGTAACATGACTCTCTCTGCATATTGAGAATTTGTAACTATATTGAGAGGCTCTGTAAAATCCATAAGTACCATGAGAATTGCATATAATTCTGCCTTCTCTACAGATGTATACGGACTTTGAACTACTTTACTTACCTCACCTGCTTTATAACCTGCCTTATCTGATTTGTTGGCATCAGTGTAGAAGGTAAGATCCCCAGAAATGGGAGTTTGTCGTACAATATGTGGAAGAATCCAGATTGTCTTTTTTATGAATTTAATACTGTCAGTTTTGGGATAATTGTTGCTAATTGTTCCCCAAAGGTCAGTAAGAGCTACCTGCCAATATTCATTGTCCTTCCATATGGAGGAAATTTCTTCATTATTCAAGGTACTATAATTTTTGCTGGATCTTTTCCAGTCAGTTGACGGAACCTTAATTCGCCCTTTAGATTCAAATCAGAAATCTTTTCTATATATGTCTTTAGTTTTTTATTCTGTTTATGTGGCAGAAATATCCACTCCAATATGACATATTCCCTCTGCATTAGAATCACAGAAGGGCATTCCCTGGATGGCAAGATAACCAGAATACAGTCTAAATTAGGGTTTATTCAATCTACATGAGCATCCAATATTCTGTTTTCTACCCGTTGTAATTCTTTTTCCACCTCAGCAGATAATATTTTCAGACTGTTTAGGTCCTTATCACATTTAAGGGCCATTTTTAAATGCTTTAAGTCATGTCCTACACCATCAATCGTCTGTAGTTGAGAAATTTCCCCTAGAAGCTTGTGAAGATTATTAAGAGTTTGATAATGATCTCTCCTAATTTGTACCTTCTGTGGCCTGTAAATCTATCTTGTTACCTAAATAATTCATAGAATCTCCTCTTTGTATCTTTTCTGGGGCAATCTGTAACCCCAATGAGGCAGAACTTCCTTCACCATTTCAAATATATGTTCCAAAGTTTCCTTATTAGAATCAGATAAAAAGAATGTCATCCATGTAATGGTAAACAAGAGATTGTGGAAATTTTTTACAAATTATTTCTAAAGGTTGATGTACAAAGTGCTGACACAAAGTAGGACTATTTAGCATTCCTTATGCCAAAACCTTCCACTGATATCTCCTAACTGGCTGTGAATTATTAAAAGTTGGTACAGTAAATGTAAATTATTCTCTATTATTTTCTTGTAATGGTATTGTGAAAAAACAGTCTTTCAGATCAATGACTATGATCGGCCATCCCTTAGGAATCAAAGAAGGCAACGATATTCCAGGCTGTAGAGAGCCCATAGGTTGAATGATTTTATTGATGGCTCTCAGGTCTGCAAGCATTCTCCATTTCCCTGACTTCTTTTTAATAACAAATACAGGAGAATTCCAAGGGCCTGTAGATTTCTCTATATGTCCAGCATCTAGCTGTTCCTGAACTAGTCTTTCCAAAGTTTCTAGCTTCTCAGAGGTCATAGGCCATTGTCCAATCCAAACAGTTTCATCTGTAAGCCATTTTAATGGTAGGGCCTCACATCTAGAACTTTTAATCACCTGTTGCCCTTTTAAACCTTTCGAGATTGCCT